ATCAGTGTATTCACAATCTGATATTAATATATTTATATTTACATATGTGTTTAGTGATCCATGAAAGAGCTACTGAAATATTATTTTTGTATCCATTATCTATATAATGAAACATTAAATTATTCTAACGTCAAATTAAAGTATTAGAAGAAATATTAATGAAATTAAAGAAAGATGCTAATTATGACTTGAAAGGGTTTTTTATCTAACATATCTTGCTATTGAACTGACTTTTGATTTTCATAATCTTTTTGTACATGGAAACAAGTCAAAGCAAGGTTATTTGAAATAAATTGCCGAACTCGAAACGAAAGTTATTATATTTTTTTGTGCAAGGACAATCAGGTTCTACATGTTTAAGTTAAAGAAATCGTCTTGAAGTAAGACAGAATGTTACATTTTCTTGAAGAAGACGATAACAGCAAAACCAACGGTGTTCCGCATCATGCATCACTAATTAGTCAAATAAATAAGCTGTTTTATCTACATTCCATAAGTAACAGTAATCCCAAAATCCCCAAAACCCAGGAATATCAGCATTCGCTCACAATTTTATTGAAATTATAAACTGCAACTCTAAACCGGTTAGCTTCTTTGGATATCACTCCGCTTCTTTGTTTGTGGTTGAACTGTATACCGTGGCGTTTTGTTGCGACTGTAAAATTTAAATAATCTCTTGGTTTTTTGTTTGTTTGTTTTTTATTTTTTTGTTTGTTTGTTTGTTTGTTTTTTTTTTTGTAGCCTGTTATTACGGTGTTCTCTGACTGTTAAAATACATATCATTTCACTTTAAAATGAATTATTTTTACTCCGTTGTGCAACAACTCTTTACCGGCCAGCATCGCAAGGCATCACTTTATTTCTTTATGATAATCTTTACTGTATTGTTCAATGTCTCTGCCTCCGAGGGGCGTTTTCAAAATGATCATTTATCATGACATATCAAGGTTATTGAGGTGAACCAAAGTTATGATGCTAGAACTACTAAAGTATATTTAATTATTTATAAATATGAAATTTCCTTGACTGGGACTAACTGTTTATTTACTCATTTTAATGTAAATGTACTTCACAGGTACAAGAAACCTATGCAAGTGTGTCAAATCATACATATTCAACTGTCAAATGAAATATTGAAAAACACCATTAATTAAAATGATAATAAACGTAATCATATCTCCCATTTTACGAAATGTAATTATGACTAATTTTTAACACAATAAGCGTATTTTTTTCACTTTCGAACTATCACTTACGTGTGGTTTTTGCATTTGTCTTGCTCATTAATAACAGGACAAAACCCAAGAAGTACGTTTTTCACTTGTTTAATTATGCTCAAGTTGTTTGTCATCCAGTTGGCTATAAGCAAATCATTTTAGTTGTATTTCGATAAGATTTTTGTCCCCCGCTTTCTAGAAAGCGAGGGGACATTAAATTTCATTTGTCTGTCTGTCTGTCTGTCCGTCCGTCTAGCTGTCCGTCAGTCCGTCCGTCACAAAAACTTTAACCTTGCCCATAACTGTTGATTAAGTGAAGCTATGTCTTTTATATTTCACATGTGTATTTCTTGTCAGTACTCAGTATTCAACGTTATTCGACAGGAATTTGAATGCAATGAAAACGTGAGTGTGGTGATAACGGGTGGTAGTGGTGTAGGGGAGGGGGGAGGGGTCATGGTCGGTTTGTCGGACCCAGGTTTCACATTTAGGCTCTTATTGTGAAACTTAATAGAATGAAATTAACCAATAATTTTTCAAGACTTTGTCCATTTTTACTAAAGATTAGAGAGAAAGAACCACGTAATTTTGATTCTAGCACTTCTCACTACACCTAACAACTCTAAAGTACACCTTTCTTCCATGCAGAATTTTTATTACTAGTAATCAGGCGCTTGTTACGGACCTCTTTCAACTATTTATGAAATAATTTAATTCATTGGTAATGATTAAACCGAAAATGTATTGAATAGTGGGGGTAATTTTATGAAGAGGAGACTATAAGTCAGTTCTTTTTCTATCACGAAAGGAAACTCCAGACAGTTATATCAATTGAAAATAAAGGTCTTAAGACGGAGGAAGTAATGCAGTAACTGACCAGTTGACCTATATTCTACCCAACATGACGTTTACATCCGGTATGATGTCACTTGTTGTCAATACTACTGAATATAGTAAGAGTTTTGCTATGTTACTGTGTCAAGGATATGGATCTTGCAGTATCCTTGAAACACGAGCAAATAATATAAAGATTCAGACTACAAGGTAGGCGTTTTAATAAGGTAGAAAAAAAAATTTAAACGCAAGTTTAAGCTAAATTCTTTTCAATACTGTCAAAGTGCATTCAGGTTTTGTTTTTGAAAGTTATTTGTTAGGATGATTTTCTTGCATAGAGGCACAATGGTGGCGCTCTGTTCAAGATCCCTCTAATATTTTCGACGAAAGGATATTGGAGATATTAAGATAAGAAAGAAAAAGAGAGTTACTAGTAATTCCACAGCAAAATAATTACCGTAATTCCTCCGAAAGGTTTGTAATGCAGCATGGTATTTAAACTTTCTTTAAAATACATATACTTTTTAAGAAGAACTGAAAGAAAAGGGTGTCAGATGCCACCATGCCCCTGTTCATCCGTCGGCGACTGAGAGTATTAGTTAAAAGGACATGGTCAAAGGGTTTCAATTTTTTTTTAAGCAAAAAAAAATTATGCTGTTTAAAATTATGAAATTTTCAGTTAGTAAGAAAAAATCACAAATATGGACAAAAAAAATCCATGAGGCAGTTTTGAGCCAAGTATTCTTTTTCGAGCATCATCCAAACTTTTCCCACTAAAACAAGCCCTGTCCTTCCACTAGGCATACACAAACTGTCAAAAAAAGTACCCCTATCATATTTCTAAACATTGAATAAATTTTTATATATATATACACAGCCAGTTGTATGATAATAGGAGAGAGGGTGTATAATAAAATGACCCGATGTTGTACCGAGTTATGTTAGCTGATGGATGAGTGTTACCCAATCACACGTAATAAATACCGGTGTAGTGGGAACCTAGTGAATGAAGCGAGAACTACCCGGGGGGCTATCGTGACACTTCTATCCCAGACGGGTACATCTACCTTAATTAGTGTATCTTCATCCATTCATTCATTTATTAATTTTTTCAAAGAAATAATTTTCCAAACATTATCTCTCCGGTCCTGCTGGTTATATATAGAGTTTTAGGGAGTGATCGGGGGGGGGGGGGGGTGCGTGGGTGTGGGTGTTAAGCAGTGTTCACCTGAAACATTTTACTTCCTTTTAATTTTCATATAATTTAGAACCTCATTTTGATATCTTACAAATGTATTTTCCCTGAATTATTTTTCAATATTGGGCTAAAAGATTTACTAATAACATGATAATGAAGATACATTAACGTTAAATAAATCATATTCCCCTATCTTGGGGTTTGAATTTCCGTGCTCTAAACAAGTTCAAACAGAACGAACTAAAAATAGAATTTTGTAGATGATTAGTTACTCGGGAGTCCTTAGAGTAAATCCCAATTAGCCTTATGGCCTGAGCATGATATTGTGATGTATATCATTTCTCATTAGCTTCTAATTGACCATATTTTTCCTTTTTATTTGACCCTAATGGGGTCACAGACCTTATATACCTAGTTTTATGGGGTTTCTTTTTTATCATTATTATTAAAGACTACTTACCTAATGAAAACGATAGAAAATAAAATTTCACTCATTTTTATAACTTAATGTTTTTACTAGTAACTGAGGATTAAAATGGGGGAGGCTTTTTGCCATGCGATTGTAACCTTCTCAATCTTTTATGAAGGGAGATAACTTGTTGATTTACCATATCTTTGTGAATGTTATTTTAAAAAAAATGAATCCGATCTGGGGCATTTTTTATCTGTCTGTCTGTCTGTCTGTCTGTCAGTCAACAAAACATTATCGTTTGCCATGACCTTTGAAAGGTTGCTGCAAGTGCTGCTATACCTGTGTGTTCTTGTGACGAGGCCTTCCTTTGGGTACCAACATTTGTGATCTTATGATCTTGACCCTCGACTTGAACCTAGCCATGAAAAAACTATAACTTTAGCCATACCTTTTGTACGGTTGGTTTTTGGGGGTTTCTTGTATCACATCTGCAATTTTTTGACAAGACTTTTGCTTCAAGATCGGTGTCGAATGCTGCCTTGATTTACAAATCTGCTCTTTGCGAGGAGATGCTTCGCCTTGCAGTGCCCTTGTTTGGTTTATTTCTAGTACACGCGAATTTCTAAAAGGAAAAATATGTTCTAATTCATGTTCGGAGAGCAGTGTGAAGAAAATGTCAAAAGAAATCTGATCTTTAACGTTAATCCTAATGAAATGTTTTATGTTAATTTAGCATTTTGCGTTTCCCAAAATCCCAATACATTTGTAACGTCTATCCCTTGTTGCAACAGAATACTGTAATCTAGTTTTCGGTTACTGTAACTGGCGGAGGATTTAATGATGATTTGATCGCTGCACGTATTGTACAAAATGTATAATGTCCAAAATGTGTTTTCATCATGTCGTATTTGTCTCCTTTACTACTATTGTATAAATGTTTGTTTTAATGTTCCGTTGTAAAGGTAAACAACACGGGATTGTCCCGACCTAATCTTTCTGTCTAATTATAATGAGCCTCGTTTATAATGTTTTTGCATAAAAACAACTAATAAGCTCATTTTAATAATTTTACGACACCCTCCCCCTTTTCTCTTTTTATTCGCCATATCTTTGATTCTCCAATGAGCATATTTGTCACAAGCATGACTAATATTTTTTCAATAGTTTCTCTTTAATTGTAAAGTTTCTTTTACTTTTTGTCAAGAGTCCAACAAAGTACGACTAAGAATTGCAAATTGGAGTAGATTGGTACTATGAATGGGAAATAAGGCTGACAGTTTTTGATTGATGGTGTGACGTCGAGCCCCGCCCCCTTGAGCTTTAATCTGACGACCAACTGACAGGTGCAATGTGAACGAAAAGTTAATCCGTGTGCAGGAACCAGTGACACTGTGTGGATTATTTCCTTTTCTTCAGAAAACTGTCAGATTTTAATGTAAGTTCCATTTTTATTGACAAATTAAGAAAAGTCATTTACGTCCAATATCCTCCATCGGATATTGTATTATAATCTCAAAAAAAAATTTATTAGAACATAAAATTTGATTTGCTATCGATTACCTTGAGCGTTTTTATATTACCTGTATAAATGCAATTTATATACAAGTACACTTGAAAAGTATTTTGATGTTGTTACACAACAAATGGGTACTTAACTAACAATAAATTCAAATTGACATTTAGTGTGATTGAACTGCAACAAAGAAATACATTTATCTTTATGGTTGACTTATCTAACTAAAGAGTATTCGAAGGAAATATCAAAAAAGAAAATGAAAATTAAGTGTTTGGTTTGAGGTAAACCAACATTTTATGTCATGTATCCTGCTTGGCAACACAGTTTAAAGACACTGCTTCCTTCTGCTTCTGGTGCAAAAAGTTTATAGTGTAATATTAATTATGCTGTGGACATCATAAGACGGTGTCTGATCAGTCTCCCGTGTTTTTAAATTAATTCAGACTGAACTTCAAAGATACATGTATTATAAGTTCTGTTTGTCATGACAACGTGACGTCATAAATTATTCCCAAAACTGCATATACATATTGGTATGTATATTGCATTTAAATTACATTGCTATCTGTAGATTTTAATTTCCTTTCCTTCTGTTTGTACACTTTTTATGTACAACTTAATTTAGCTGTTCAGATGCCAAAATAGGCATCCACAGTCATGCCTGCAATTTGAAGCATGAATCCGACACACGATGGCATGACCCTTGGTCTGTATGAAGATCGGTGACAGTTTTCATGCCTATCGCTTCTGCTACCTTTTTATCACACCTAGGCTGTCGTGCGCTGACAGATGACCTAGTTGCTATTTTACTCTGGTAGCAGACATCATGAAAACTTCTTTGGTCGCGAATTTACGTCCGTTTGAACATTGGAACATTTCCGGTTTTGATCGTTATCCGTGCATAAAACTTGAGGTGCGTCGACTTACTGTAAGAAATCAACATATTAACGTATATACATTTTGTGACGAAAGTTTTTCGCTAGAATAATTGTGTACTTTTTACTTTTAGCCGCCGAAGAAACGATTTAAGTATATTACTTAAGGTATAAAAAAATACACACCTGAAAAGATTACACGTTCAGTTGCACATAAAATGAGTTGTGGTTTATTCACAGTTTTGGAACACAATGGTAAATAATTTAGATATACTAAAATAAATCGTCATATTTTTATTCTCCGTAATTAGTAAGGTTTTGTATACATGGACGAGGCGTATCAAGTGAGACTGTTTAACAGAAAGGTAGCAGAATTCGCAGTTTAACCCAATGAGAGTTGGGTATCGCAGACCAGTAACAAACGAAGCCTGTTACTTGAATGTCCTTGAATGCTGGAACCTTCGTGTGTTAATTTTTAATAGTTTTTGAAAACTGCATATTAAGATGCGTGTATATATAGCAAATATAATGACCATTGAGATTATCGTCTAGTCTTTAGAGCATCTGAAAAGAGTTATGCCGTTAGATACTATAACCTCAAGAGAGACCAAGTCAAATGCTGTTGAATAAGCACTCAGTCCTAGACTACGACCACCCTTCCTTGGCTGGGAAGGCCGCGACTGACCTACATGTAAGTTAATATAGTTAGCGAGTGTTCTTTTTGTCAAACGCTCTTCAATTCAAAGTGAATGTTGCGGGTTCTTTGGATGAGACCTTTAAAGTCCCGTGTTGCTTAAGACGTTAGCCCTCTGTGCTCGATGCATATGGCCCTGAGTAAAAGTCTAAATTTGAAGCCTTTCACCGGTATATGACGACGTCTCTACATGAGTGAAAACTCTCGAACGGGACGTCAAACAACACATGATCAATCAGTCATCTTACCATTGATCAAACATGAAGCTCTCGTTTGGTAATTGCATAGATAATTAGTCCTGGACAGTTGTATAGACAAAGAACAAGGACAATTTTAATCTTTATGTTCTTTTTCACTACAATTAAAGGGTTAGGATCAAAGTTCTGAAAGTTTAACTGTTGTACCAAAGCTCTTGATATGTTTGGAGGGAGAGAGATTAAACAAGTACTCTTAACATTAAAATAACAAGTCTTTCTAAAATGACATGTCTTTCTTTTAATCTACAATTATAAGTTCACAATCACTGTCAAAATTTGCATTTTCGTTTTTGATTCAGCAAAATTCCCCTTCTTTATTTTATTTATTTTCCACAACCATAAATGTTTTCATGATTACCATACAGCCAAAATGATGAGAAGTAATTTAATTAAGTTTTCACTCGTGAGAGCAAAAGTCATGTACTAATTTATTACTTTCTGGGAATATATTACTTACGACATAGCGTTTTATGCGACAAAGAAAGCTATAATTCAGAGTTGGGTTAAAAGTTCGCGCTTGTCAATAGCATTATCATGATATATAGAAACACCTATCAAGTCCCCAGAAACAAGGAGATATTCCGATCACGTTTATAAAACAGAAACCCAAGAAATAGCTGAATCAAATGCAATTTTTGGGAAGTTGATTAGAAGATCAATTTTGGTTTTCCAATCAAATTACTCATTCGCAATTCCATATTCCACATACATTCGAATGTAAACAGACAGACACTGTTAGCAATTGTTTAAGGCAGCCAATGTTATTCAATTAATTAGAACCGTGTCAATTTTGTGGTATTCTGAATTACCGATAATAAATGAGTTGAGGTTTTAATATTATGTAAATATAATTAATCTTATGGTTAAGTTCACTCTAGGGCAGGATTATATTCGAGAAATCTGTCTTTGGCACGGTGATAATTTTTGTATTATTATTTGACAGATCAATCTTAATTTTTCATATCTTCCGCATGTTTAGTTCAGTAATTTCCAAAAAATGATTTTAATTATATCTATTTCTGATTTCTATTAAAAAAAAATTAAAAGTGGAAGTTTTCAGTCATGGATTTGAAGAATAGATCACTCGAATTTTATTTTTTTACTTTAATTTTTAATCAGGCGTCCATTTGTCATTTATTAATTCTAGACATGTTTTAAACAATTGACGCAAAGACGCAACTTAATTTTGAACTCGAACAATTTTTAAAGCACACGGAAATGCAATTTCAAAGATAAACTTCAAAACCTTTCCGGTGAAAATTCTTTTTCTTTGGTTCAATTAAGAATCATTAAGGAGTTCAGGGGTCATGGATTTGCTCGTAATTCTTCGGCTTGATTTATAGCATCGCTGTACAGGTCGTTGGACCGGCAAATTCTAGTTGTAGAAGCTTTACTTTCCCTCGTCACTCACACGCTTGCTTCTCTTTGCGTATTGTACAGAAAGTTCGTTCCTCCCGAGACGTTTCAGTGCAGTATTGTATACGACACAGGTTCTCAGGGGATATGTAAATTTATTAATGCGGATATGTATAAATAAATTGATGATAATCTATATGTAAACAATGTCAATGTATTTACATGCAACTTACAAAAATACGGTAATGTGAAATATTTGTCGAAACAGCAAAAAGGGAAAAAAAATCGTTTCGGAAATACATTCGTCTCAGCTTTTGCAATATATATATACATGTATACATGTATATTAATCGTTGGCAAGTGCGTGTGCCGAAATTGTGCATCTAGAGGAAATTCTCCAAATTAATGTACAAAAAAGTGATAAATCTACACAACGAAAGACAAAATAATGTCTAATACAAAAGTGTAAAGGACTACCTTCTTAATCATTAAAGCCAAATAAATAGTCTATTTTTGTGTGTAATTTGCTAATTAATATGCATTCGTCTCGGTGTTTAACCATAGACCCATTACAGGTGACTCCAAAATGCAATAGAAAACGGTTAATTAGTGACAATAGACATTAGCTGGGGGTGACAAAATCGCTCCTACACATGCACGTCTGTTGTGTGCAGTTTTATTTCCTGTAGTCAAGAAATACGTAAATGTTTTGAGCTGTCATCTGTACTCTTAGATTTAGCTGATGAGCAGAGAACATTTGCAACGTACTAATTCCGCAGTTATCCAAAGACTTGTCGTGTAGGCTAAATCCCACGAGATTTGAACACTATATTGGAAGTTCCAGCTTCTAGTTTATGGGCACTGATCGTGAATATGAAATTTATTTTTTTTGTTCAAAAGTAAAAGTTTTGATACTTTGCATTGTTTCCGCCAACAGTACCATATACGTGGCATTTATATTCGAACTGCAACTGGGCCTATGCTAATAAGACTTATCCCAAAATATTCTTTGTTTAAAGAATTGTTAAGTTTGCTCAATGCATAACATCGTCTTTGTTCATTCATCCTAAGAACTGAAAACATTTTGCTCACAAAAATAGGTATACCTGTGTTGGTTTATTGGTTAAAACTGCTCCAACTGCAAGAATTCTGATTTTACACAGAAATGTTTTAAGAAATTATTGTATCATTTTTATCTAAAACGACAACCTACAATTAGTCATTTTAATAGTAGTAAGCACCAATCCCATGTGCATGGTGTCAGGTTCAAATTTTCAGGAAACAAGACTTTTAATGTGTATTGTGTGGTTTAAATACGTTTTCCCCTTAAAAATAAGATGCGTTTGTGAAACCTGATGCCCCTATGTCAGCTTATGGCGAGAGTTGAATTTTCTCAAATGCATATCAAACTCCAAAAGTCAAGATCAAAAGGTCAAAATTGGTGCTGCCTTACGGAAGGTCTTGTCAAAAGGAATACACATTTGAAATATGAAAGCCCCAGCTCCAACCTTTCAAAAGTCATGGCCAAGATTAAAGTGTGGTATTTCTTTGTAAAAGTAAGTCAGTCTAGAAGGTCAAGGTCAAGGTCAAGAGGTCAAATTTGGTGATACTCAAAGAAAGGTCGTGTCACAAGGAATGCACCTGTGAAATATGAACGCCAGAGCTCCGTGCACTCACTCACAAGTTATGGCGGCAAAGTTACAGACAAACAGATAGGTAGACATACAGACAGACAGA